TCAGATGTTCTCTTGAATATCTGAAGGCCTGATGGTTGTTGTTGCTAGTTGTGAAATCGCATCTGATCCATCGCGACCCCATGGATAACGTTCCTCCAGGCCTTCCTGTCCTCTACCATCCCCTGGAGTCCATTTAAGCTCACACCAACTGCTTCGATGATTCCATCCAGCTACCTTATTCTCTGTTGTCCCCTTCTTCCTTTGCCCTCAATCATTCCCAGCATTGGGCTCTTCTCCAGTGAGTCCTTCCTTCTGATTAGGTGACCAAAGTCTTTGAGTTTCCTCTTCAGGATCTGGCCTTCTAAAGAGCAGTCAGGGTTGATCTCCTCTAGGACTGACTGATTTGATCGCCTTGCAGTCCAAGGGACTCGCAGGAGTCTTCTCCAGCACCATAGCTCAAAGGCCTCAATTCTTTGGTGCTCAGCCTTTCTTATGGTCCAACTTTCAAACTTACAGGTAGCGTTCATCTTGCAATCACAATCAAGCTCAAAATTTCCGTTTCTAAGCATGATCGTAATTAAGTGAGTTTTGCTGCATTTTACATTAGGCCGTTACCATAAAGAAAATAAATTAAAAATTAAGATAGAATCTTATCCAAAAGAAGCCTTACCATCAGCAGCACGATAGCTCTGCTGACCCAGGAAATATGCTAATAGAAAATTTAAATCAGGAGTGTCCACCCTTGGCAACTGTAAGACCTGTGAACTTCAATTCCCAGAATTTCCCAGCCAGCCAATTCTGAGAGTTGAAGTCCACAAATATTAAAGTTGCTAAGATCGGACACCTCTGATTTAAAGTAGATATCATGTAAAAGTACCACAAGAAAAATCCCCATCATTTTATATAACTGTACTTGCAGTTGCTGCTGAAAGGAATCCAACACGTATCACATTTACAATTTGGTACCCTTTCCAAAAACGAATAGTCATAATTTTAGAGAGAAAGCTGTCAAAATATGTTCCGCAAACACCTTGGCAAGAGATCTGGGCAACTGGAGTAATTCTGTGAAAATGGAAAGGATGCCAAAGAGAAATGTGTTTTGATCTTCTAAGCAGGAATCCATCCAAGAGAAAGATTCTGTACATATATTATCATGAAACTATTAGAAATAATTAGCCGGATATTTCAAAACATTACATTATCAAATGTGTTATCAACTCAGTGCAAATTCTGGGATCTATTTCTTTCTTTGCTAAACAAATGGATGTCTATCTTTTAAAAAAAAATCAAGGGTGCCTAATTGTGCCATAATATAGTTTATAAACTTTGATGGAGTAGTTAAAGCTTCCAGTTCTTTTAGAAATTCTCCAAATGTTAAGATTTCTGTAGCCTTCCACAATAAATTCTGAAACTGTGCAGGGGGGAAAAAATATCACAATATAGACAGCTAGGGATAGTCCTAAAACTAGTAGTGATCTATACGCTCTGTGCAGAATGGGAATAGATGAGATACAGTGCAAAATATAAACTTTTTTTAGGATGCAGTTAGAGGGATTATCATCACTTTATGTATAGAATACAAAACATTTTGTCCTGTCTTGTTTTATGATCCTATGTGCATGCTATGAAGATATAGCTATTGTTAGTGCTATTTTTGCTAGCTACAGTTTGCTGTGCTGACTCTGTAAACCGCTTAGAGAGAGCTGTAAAAACACTGTCAAGTGGTATATAAGTCTAAGTGCTATTGCCCATCCTTCCTTCCTTCCTTCCTTCCTTCCTTCCTTCCTTCCTTCCTTCCTTCCTTCCTTCCTTCCTTCCATCCGTCCGTCCGTCCAT